TTGATTTGGACTGAGTAACAGCCACAATCAATGAGTTGGGTGTGGGGTGCTTGACAAGAAAGTCCAAGTCTGAACCCTGGATTCTATAAAGGTTTTCCACCCTTCGGGACATCTGCAAAATGGAGCAAGGCTTGTCCCACGGCTGCTTGAGAGTCCTCAGCAAAGAGATAAAGGCGAGGCGTAAGGGTGGGTTTTGGTCCTCATCAATATCAGCATAGACTTTGTCTGTGGCAGTCTCGGGTGGCTGTTCAACAAATAGATCCAAAGCTTTGGCAATATGTTGGATCAATTCCGAATAGGATGGGAAATCAGCTGCAGGTGATGCTGGATTTTTGTCAAAAATCACAGAGTCAGGCATATTGTCATTTGGTGGTGAGTCGTTGCAAGAAGGTTTTGAGTAATCAGAGTCACATTGGATTCTGATCCGATTCTGAAAAATTTTGTACAGGACGTACTGGTTTGGAATGTAGTTGGATCTTGCACTTGGTACTGTGGTCGGTATTGAAGGGCCCATCACAGTCGGTATCGTGATCGGTATTGCGATCGGTGCCGTAGCGGTCTAGTTGAAAGGAGGAACTGGAGTCAGAAGGAGACCGGATTCAAATCTTCTTAGATGATTTTTTCTGGTGTTCCTTAGAGTGGTCATGAAGTCTCTTAAGCGGCTCAGTACCGTGGAGCGTTTCACTTTTCTTGCCTTCGGTACCAAGAGGTTCGGGTAAGGTGTGAGTAAGTTCTGGGTTCTCTATTGGCTGTTCTTCTCGCACCAGAAAAGACGAGTCCGAGTTCTGAATAAACGAATTTTTGTTATCAAAACCAACTGTGTCTCTTACTTATTTCACTTGGGCAACAAATAGATAGGGCGGTGGAGAAGCCAGTTTATGTGGACATGAAGGAGACCCAGAGCTGGCAGGTGCTGAAGAACCCCCAGAAAGGACTTTGAGAGGAGATTGGGGGATAACAGCAGGTGGAGAGGGATCTTCAGAGTGCGGGGGAGGGGGAAGCTCCCTTGGAGTTTCAGCACGCTGCGGCAAACACAAGGACTTTGGTGAAGGTGGGGGTGATGGCTTCTTTGGTTTTGAAGAGGCTTTAGGAGTGGACTGGTAGTGCTGGGAAGGCTTAGCTTTCGAAGATTTAGCGGATTTAGACTTTGGTGCTGATGAAGGCAGCTCTGGAGTGGCTGAGGGGGACCTGGTCTCCATTTCGGGTGGTTGTAAAGACTTCTCCCACAGTGCTGTGCACAATCGAAGCTCGTGAAGCCTCAACCCCTGCTTGGTAAATTTTTCGCAGTGGTGGCAAGATTGGGGGATGTGGGACTCCCCTAAGCAAAAAAGACAAAAATGATGTATGTAGAAGGGATCTTCTTCCTACAGGAGGCACAACATTTGAAAGTCACTTTAGGTGCCGTATACAAAAGGGCGGGTGTCAAAAGATCCGTTATTTACTTTTGGCGGTTCGCCAAGATAAGCAGGAAAAGCAGGAGTCTGATTTCTTGAAACAGAATTTTCTTTATTAACCTTCAACAATGGAATGTCAACAATAACTTCTATGGGTTCTGGACTGTCCCAATCACTTAACTTCTTCTCCACCTGCCCATATCGCTAACTGAATACTTATTGCTTAGAACCGGGGAGCCGGACCAAAACGCTCCTTGTCAGTAGGCTTCCTGAGGGGGGGACTCCTCACCGCGCATAGTGTCTCATAACAGGGGTGTTGTGCCCAATCTCCCTCCAGTGGTGGTTTGTTGAACGTAGCGTCCGGCCGAACCACCTTCCTCCAAGGACCCTGGCCACGCGGGTAAACCACCACCATCCATTCTGTAGTCTCTTGCACCACTATGCCTCCTCGGGTGGGCTCAGGATCTGGCAACAGTCCACTGACCTTCATGTTCGGGAAATCATCCAGTAGGTTTTTAACGCTCTGCACTCTCACTTTTTCCTTCTCTGCTCGTTCCTTTTCCGTTCTAACCCGAAACTCCCTCGCCTTTTTCTCCCCCTTTATATCTTCCTCCCACACCTCTACCCATTCCTCCTCCTCCTTTCCTTTCCCTTCCTCTGTCAGGCACACTTCTGTCTTAACTCCCTCTCGTCCGATGACTTTCTCAACGCAGCTCCCTTTCTCTTTGATGTTTCCTTTCTCTGGAGGAGACGGTGCACTCAAATCCTCCTGACCTTCACAGCGGGAAACTGGGGATGGGGGGGGAACATCCAAACAAAATAACTTCTCCTCTCTCTCTTATTATTATTAGTATGTGTATTAGTATTAGTATTATTAAAATACAGGGGAAAATACGAACGATTTAGATGAAAAGGCTGGAGAATCACAGTGGATCGATTTCTATCACAGAGCTCTAGACAGGAGACCTGCTGCAGTAGCGGAAGAAATGGAACTGAGGTAACTGTCAGGGCGGGCGGACCTTGAGGGCTTGGGGGAAGGGCTAAAATTGTTACTTCAAGCTCTAGAATGTTCCGAGGCCTCTGTGAAAGCGCAGATTAGTGTGTATTCACAGAGTCCACCCCCCATTTGTCCTTCATTTTCCTTTCAGAAAGGCATTTGATGCATGCTTAACGGCTGAGGAATGATCCTTTATTGAGGAGTTGTTCAGGGCTTTTAAACAAGCGATGTTTTAGTATTATACCCCACATCTTCTCTATGTTCTTTATTCAACGTAGTAATGGAGCACCATAGAATATTCCCTCCTTTGACAGAAAGGTTGGATATAAAAATGGAATAGACCGATAGATAATTCAGTAGACTGACCATGAACATCTCTTAGAGTCTTATAAACTTCAGTTTCCTTGAAAGTGGATTTCGGAGGTGGGGGGCAGTCATTTGATGTGATGTTCACACTGTTTTGCCTACCAAATCACTACAACAGATTCATCTCAGAACATTAATATTAACTGATGTTGACATGTGGTAGCCATCTCGAACAGATGTACAACTTTGCATCCTCTCAGGAAGTAGACGTGTGTGTTTTTTTCCCCTGCCCGGCATAGAAATAACACAACACTTGATTTTTTTCCCCCCAAAGGTCCAGCTCAAAGTTCTGAAGAAGTAATTACCTCAAGCTGGTCATTACTCAAATGATTATAATTTGATCATAGGCTGAAGCACTAGAAGCTTTCCGGGGTATTCTAGAGTAGAATTAATAAGCGTGCCAAACACAATTTTATATATATATATATAAAAATCCTCCGATGCAATTGAGGGGTGGGGGTAAAGAAGCGGTGAGGGCTCTGTTGATTTAATTTCTGTCAGTTTTCGCCCTGCTGTTTTTTTCCCAGCCAGAGATGATAGAGGATGATTATCCATCTCAGCTTCTGTTCATCCCCTACAGCCCATACCTCTGTTGATAGCTGAAGAAAGGTCAGCATATTTCCTGTTCAGATGAGGACATGCATTACCTTTGTATTGTTTAGTAAAACTGAGTTAGATCAGTAGTTTAAATCTATAAGATGGGAATTTGTGTCTGATCTTCGATTTTGTTGCCACAGGAGTAAGGCTCCGGTGCTGTGTGACCTTAGTTACCCTTGCAAAGAAGGAAAGACGATGAGTTGTTCTGTGAAGGATCTCCTCGCGGTTCCTCATGAGTGGTACCAGCCCGGTGGACTCCTCATCGGTGGGATTATTTCTCAATTCATTTATATTTTCCAAGAAGCTTCCTTCAGGGAACATCCTTCTCAGAACCTTTTTGACGTTGTAAAGTAAGGATCTTTATCCCTCATTACCTACTTGACCCCTTGCATTTTGAAGCCAGCAAAATTACAAAAATACAGTGGTAAAATTACATCAAAGAATTCTAAAATACAAAGAATTCTAAAATACAAGGTAATAAGTTGATTAAGGAGTAGAGAGATGTATTTATTCTGTGGTGTCTGTTCTTTCTTAGCATAAAGAAAATCACATTTTTTTCACCCCACCCCACTCTTCAAGAAGAGAAAAAGAAAATTTGTGACAAATGGCTTACCAAGAAACTGGACCAAAATGATTCTTAACCTTTCTCATATTGCTTGTGGTAAAACACCAGGAACACTGAACCTGATATGGGTGGTCCAAGGAATAATAATAATATATTCATTATGCAGTAATAGTAATATCTGCTAAAATAACATTGTGCTATCTGCCCAGAACAATTTTGCCATCATTTGTTTGTTTGTTCGTTCATTCATTCATTCATTCAATTAATTAATTAATATATATACTGCCCTATTAGGGCAAGAACACCATTCTGGGTGGTTTAATAAATAAAATCCATGATGATGATGATGCCTTCTGTTTTCACCTATTTTATTTGCCAAACCTTAGTTCTACTTCTCTACGAAGGAGCTTTCTCACATTTTGTCCCTCATGGACAGCTTTGACAGAACAATAAGCGTAGACCAGAAATGAAAAATAAAAGTTCTTAACGTTGTACAAACGTTTTGATATTTCACTGTGCTTTAGTTGGACTTCCTACCCTCCTCCAAGGATCAGATGCAGGTCCTGGCCTTCCTTCCTTCCTTCCTTCCTTCCTTCCTTCCATTCTTTGTCGGTTTCTCTCAGCCCTTTCTACTTCCTCCGCCGCCACATCTTCATTCTTGTAGAATCTGCACCATTCCATACAATTTCCCCAGGTAAACCTGTTCAGAAATAATACTGTTTTGCACAGGAATATAATAATTCTCCATAGGTTGATGGTTTCTTGTGGGGGGAAAAATATCTCACAGAGAGAACTCTTACTGTGAGGAGAGAAGGGTGATATTTTCCTTGTTTTTACACCATGAATGAAAGTGCAGAAGAAGCTCTAGACTGCTATGCTTCACGTTTTCTAGATCGGCTTAAGCTTGAAGCCATGTGCACACAGATAATACCAGAAGAAGCCAGATTCTCTTTCAAGGACAAAAGAAAGCCTTAATGCTTTCAGTACAACTGTATGCAACAGCTGATAGAACTAACTGAATGTGCAAAGGGTTGTGTTATTAATAGAGGGGGAAAGGACCTGGTTTAAGTCTTGGAAATTGATGGACTGTAGAAGTTTTGTTGCAATCTTTTAAATAACTCTCTTGACAGCATGGTGCCAAAATTCTACCAGCATGCCCTGGCCATGGCCTTTGCCATCCATGAGATCAACAAGAATCCCAAGATCTTGCCCAACCTCACCCTTGGCTTCCACATCTGTGACAGCTACTATAATGCAAGGTTGACCTATCGGACCACACTTGAACTGCTCTTTAAAGGGCAGAGATTTGTTCCCAATTATGACTGTGATGGACGGAAAAATCTCCAAGCGGTCATTGGGGGACTTGGCTCCGACACCGCCTTTCTCATGGCTGACATCTTAAGGCTCTACAAAATCCCTCAGGTAGGAAGGGATACAGGGGTCTACAGGATGTATGGTGAGCTTTTAGGCACTTACTCTTCTGTTGTTTTTCTGCTAATTCATGCATCAGAAAAAGGTGGAAAATGGAGGTGTAGAAATCAGTTTGGTTTACAGACCAAAAATGCCATAACTTCTAGCAAATATTTTCCCCCATGAATGAGAAAATGGAGCAGAAGAAATACTTCCAAATTCTAACTACAACTGTACTTTTTCCTATAGTTCGCATCTGGCTCTTTGGATGCTGATGAGATGCACTCCCTCCACCCTCACTTTTATCACATTGTCCCCAGCGAAGACCGCCAATACATGGGGATTATACAGTTGCTTCAGCATTTTCGATGGATATGGGTTGGGATGTTAGTTGCTGATAGTGATAGTGCGGAACGTTTTGTGCAGACGACAGAGCCACTCTTTTCTCAAAATGGAATCTGTTTAGCTTTTGTACAAAGAATCCCACGACAACCTAATTTTGATGACTTGGGTGAAACAATTGCTACAGTCTCACATAAAATATATGCACCTTTGACCAATCAAAAAATCACTGCTTGTATCATCTATGGAGAATCCTTGACAGTTGCCTGGATAAGAGCAATTATATTTCTACATGATCCCGAAAATACAGGGTACCAGACATATAGAAAAGTATGGATCACAACAACTCAGATGGATTTTATACTAACAGGTGCAGAAATGTTTTGGGGTCTTCAGGTGTTTGAAGGCGCTATCGCCTTTATGATTCACACGAAAGATCTTACTGAATTTGGAGAGTTTGTTCAGCCTATCAAACCTGGCTGGAATGAAAGAGACGGTTTCCTGAAAGATTTCTGGGAGCAAGCCTTTGACTGTTTCCTTGGAGAAACCGTTCCAGACAATGAGAAATGTACTGGAGAGGAGAAACTGGCAAGCCTTCCTGAGCCTCTTTTTGATATGCACTTGACTGGACACAGTTACAGTATCTACAATGCCATCCATGCCCTGGCACATACTTTGCATGTCATCTACTCGTCCAGATTGAGACACAAAATCATGGTTGAGGATCCAGATGTTGTGCTTCAACACATTCAGCCTTGGCAGGTGAGATCTAGATATCTTTCCAAATATTTTGATTACTATATTACCTCAAGTTGGGACTCTCTAAATCTTCCTACTTCTTTTATATTTTGTGTGTTGTGTGAGCTCGGATCAATTCCAAATTATGACAAGCCTTTCCATGAAATTCAAACAGAAAATACACAAAAGTGGTTCCTCTTTCTTCATGGACAACCTATAATTTGGAATTAGTTGATGTGTTCCATTTCTTTTCTGCAGGAATGTGTATTTTTGCATGCTCCATTTTATATGCTCCATTTCTTCTTTAGAAATGGAGCATGGAATACAACTCATTCAGAAAGTTCATAATGAAAGCTATTTTTTACATTTCTCAGATTAAATAGATGAAATATGAAGAAGAGTAAGACGACATAAATCTGAGTCAATATCCTATTCCATAGTTATGTATTTGTTCGAAGAGAAAAAGCTGTCGTGCTGGTCCGATGAGTCTCAGGAAAAAACTTGACTGGTACTTTCTCAAGTATCTAAGCTAACTTACATATTTATGTACTTATTCCAAAAGAAAAAGTTGTTGTGATGGTCTGATGAGGTCCTACTCATGTCTGAGGAAAAAACTTGACCTGTACTTTGTCAAGTATCTAAGCTAACTTATACACATGGAAGTTTAGGTTCATGTAAATATAGAATTAGATGTTGACTCTATGTGGCTAGAAAATGTTTTGCTTTCCCTCCTAGTTTCAGTCTCTGCTTGTCTTTCAATCCAATTTGTTTTTATTTTCTTTTTCCTTCAACTAGCTTCACCCATTCCTGCAAAAGTTGTCATTTAACAACTCAGAGGGAGAAACAGTGTCTTTTAATGAGAAAAGAGAAATAGGAGGTGGATTTGACATCATGAATGTGGTCATATTCCCCAACAACTCTTTCCATCAAGTGAAAATTGGGAGGGTGGTTCCCGGTGCTGTTGAAGGAGAAGAAGTCGTGATCGATTGGGATAGAATTGTGTGGCACCGAGGCTTTAACGAGGTATGGGTTGTGGGGGATCCTTCCCTAAAGAGGTCACGTAGGTGAATGAAGGTTCCTTTGCTTTCATATCTCATCAACATGGTGTATTTGCCTGTAAAATAAAGACAACGGATTCTGGACTATGGGCTAAGTTTCCTGGAAGAAGGACTGCTAGCAAGAGATGGCTTTTATTAAACAAAGACAGGGAAGAATGTGTTTGCCACAGCATGAAGGACTTCATCAGGAAGGCTTTAACCTGAATTGGAAGGGGGAGGGAGTCATAAGCACAGAGTTCAAGATAAATGAAGCCTTATTCACAATAACAGGAACAGACCAAACTGTTCTATGTTTCTATAAATGTTCCTGACCCCTTTCAAAAACGGGATGCAATCTTGACTTTCCAAATATATCTATACTCAATTTGAAAGCAAGTATATTATTACAGTTTTTATCTGCAGAAGTGAATATTGATTATGCAATTCTTGAATATTGTTGAGTTATGAAGGGATCCAGAGGAGATTGTTTCAAATGACCAGGGTTGGCTAACCTGTTTTCTGTAGGTTATTTGACTAAAAGGAATATTACACAATCTCTTTGTGATGACCCTTCTCAACTTTGTCCTTTTTATGAACAGGTGCCTCCCATTTCGGTTTGCAACGAGGACTGCCATCCTGGCTTTCAGAAGAAAAGTAAGGAAGGAGAAAAGTTTTGTTGTTACGAATGTGCTCTATGCCCAGCAGGAAGGATTTCAAACCAGACAGGTGGGTGTTTCAAATGTTATTTTCCTTTTTTGTTTATATAGATATAATTGAGTTTCTTGGGTCAAATGAAAAAAAATAAGAAACAAAGAGTTGCCATGACTGACATCTTACTCTGAAACTCCTCAATGGCTAATGATTAAATCAAAAGACAAAATCTTGTTCTGCAACATTACAACATCATTTGGATGATATCATCCTCATGGGGTTGTGCGACTGTTCAATGTACATGTAGAAAGACCAATAGTTGTAATACATCCACAACACATACGTCTGGACCTTCAGCAGCACTTCAGCAGTGATTGGGAGCTATTCAAAGCCCCTCTTTCCCCCACCCCACCATAAAGCCCTAAGAGGCTTTAAAATCTAATGATTTTCTCTGGAGGAAAATCATTAGAACTTAGAAACCATGAGTTGCAGGAGTACCATTCATGGTCTTGCTCACAAATGGCCCAGTGAGCTCTATATTGGCATGGCAAATCAACAAATATGAGGGTACGAAACTGAGGAGTCAGCAGGGAATGCACCAAAATAGGCTTACTCTTGTGCCTTTGGAGAAACACACAAGCAAACACATCTACACAGAGCCAGAGTGCAGCTGTGAACTGGAGATGATGGGTGCTTAGGCTTCAATGTCATCTCCTGTGCAAGAAACCGACAATAGATGAAATAGAGTCCAGAGTAATCTTCCCTGACTTACATCAGTGGAAGAAAAATGATGTCCCCGCAGTGGTATATTTCTGCTGATTAACAAATTCTGTAATTTTAACCCCTCATTCTTTTAACTAATCCTTACTGCGTGTGCTTTTGATGGCTTCATCTGAAACCTGAAGCAGGGAACTGTTCCCTTGGCCTGTGGTATTCTTCTTCATGCAGCCTTCCTTCCTTCCTTATTAATTTATTTTCAACGTTTTGTACTATTTTCTCAGTGTTGCCACACTCGTGAGTGGTTTACAAAAATGAAGAATAACACAATATAATGACAATTATAATAATAATACTTTAAAAAGCCACAATACTTTAAAAAGCAGCTGAGTATTCTTCAGTGAAAATTAGGTTCCTAAAACCTTAGAGCAGTGGTTCTTAACCTTTTTGAAAATGTTATTAAGCCCTGCCCCTATTTGGAGCTACTTCAAATAAATGCAAAAACGAAAACCCATTCACCATCTGAGGCAATTCTGCACTAGTAGAAGGCAGCTGAGTATTCTTCAATGAAAATTAAGTTCCTAAAACCTTAGAGGGTTGGTGCACTTTTTAAATGTCTATACATATCTTTTTTCAAAGGACAAGGGCCTGAACCAAGAAAACTATGTTCCTTTTGTTTGTTTTTAGGTCTTCTTGACTGTTACAATTCTTAACACGAAAGACTTAGAACAATGTGTGGAACAACTAGCTGTTCTGCGGGGAGTCGTTCCACCCCATACAGAGGTCCTAAACCATTCAGAGCTAGAGATGGACACTAAGCTCTATAAAGTGCTTTGTGCTGAATCAACTGTTCAGCACCAAAGGTTCTATGATTAATCTCCCCCTCCCCCTTGGCCAGGAGGTCCATTCACCTTCATCAACATCCAACCAAGGTCCTTCCTCATCGACAACATGCCAGTTGGGGAAGGAGCTCGGTCTGCCTCCTCAGGCAACTGTGACTTGATTCTTCCTGGCCCGTCTCTTCATTGGACTGGCCAGCTGCCTGAGGAGGCAGGGAAGGATCTGATGAAGGAGAGTGGGCCATATTGTTGACTTTGGTGCAAAGCACTTCAGATCACTTTGTGCCCATCTCTATTCACGGCTCTGTAGGTTATGCCAAACACATTAAATTGTGCACAGAAACTAACAGGGAGCCAAATAGGGCATGCCAAGATTGGAGATATGTCTTCATATCTGCTGGTACTTGTATTCATTTCTATATTAATTTAATTTATATTCCAACCATCTAGACCGACGTCTACTCTGGACAGCTCACAGCAAATTCATGAAACAATTTCATAAATACAATAGCCGTGTAAGATAACAACGCCATAGTATGATACAAGATAGCAAAAATAAATTAAATAATGACAGAGGGGAAGGCCTACCTAAAGATCCAAGTCTTGAGCTTGCTCTTAAAAACACCCAGCAAGGGAGCCAGGCACATTTCTGAGGGTAGATTGCTCCAGAGATGAAGGGCCATTGCCAAAAAGGCCTGGTTTCTTGTTCTTTCTCTCTGGGCCTCCTTTGGCAGTAGGCCCCTCAACCAAGTCTCCTGGCGAGAACGAGTGATACCGGTAGATCTAGGTGGGAGAAGACGTTCCGCCAGATGTTGAGGTCCTAATGCATTTAGGGCTTTATATGTCGTCGTTAATACTTTGAAATCAATGCAGAATCGAATGGGCAGCCAATGCAGAGCAGTCAGAGTGGGGGAGATATGTTGACATTTTCTTCCCCAGTGAGAAGTCTGGCTGCTGCGTTCTGCACCATTTGTAATTTCCGCATCAATCTCAATGGCAGCCCCACGTAGAGTGAATCACAGTAGTCTAATCTCGAGGCTACAAGTGCATGGACCAGAGTGGTGAGGGCCCCACCATCAAGATAGGAACGCAGCTG